TTCTCTGACTTTCAATTAATGTTTGTATCAAGGAGAGGAAATTATGTACTCAGCAGTTTTATTGCTTGTTACTAAGAATTTCATCCCTTTTTTATGTATTGCCAGAGTGTTGAGTGGCCTATGAAATTTCCTGAGGCATTTGCCAGGATGGGCCTGTCTCATCCCAAGGGTATTCTTCTCTATGGGCCCTCTGGGTGTGCCAAAACCACGCTGGTGAAGGCAGTGGCCACAAGCTGTCACTGTTCCTTTCTGTCTGTGAGTGGTGCTGACCTCTTCTCACCTTACGTTGGAGATTCAGAGAAGGTTTTGTCTCAGGTACAGTTTTTAATTTGTGTAAGGTTCTGTAGTCTATTTTTGCTTGATTTTTGTAAAGTATTACTTAGACCTAAATTTTGTTGTTGAAAGGATGATGGAGCTCTCATCTGATTATAAAATAAGAATGGCTTACAGATTCACATGTAGATAAAGTGAGAGTCTATCCCTAAAATTAAACTTCAGAAGCATTTCTGTTCTTTTATTTTCAGTTCATTTAGGAATATAAAAAAGAAGCAGAATTTGCCAATATTAAATGTAAGCCAGAACAGTTCTTAAGAATCATTAAAAATGCACCTTTAAAGTTAAATAAAATACACCATATGTAAATGGGATTTTTTTTTTCACCTTACCTGATAGAGTGCAGGCATTAATGTTTTATTTTTTTAACATTTGTTGAATAGGTTTTTCGCCAGGCAAGAGCAAATACCCCAGCAATAATATTCCTAGATGAGATTGATTCTATCTTGGGGTCTCGGGCACTCTGCAGAGCTGGCCGTGGTGTCTCAGAGCGAGTTCTCTCTGTTCTTCTCAATGAGTTGGATGGGGTTGGGCTGAAAGTTACAGAAAGAAGAGGAGGCAAGCTACAGCTTGAGGCTCAGTGCCAAGAGCAAAGTGACGAGGAAAGGAAGGTATTTCTGCTCCCTTTTCTGTATAGGAACAATGAGAAGTGCTGTCCAGTTGTTCCAAAAATTTTAGTTGTTGGCATTCGCATTTTAATCTTCAAACCCCTGAACTTAAAAACATGCAAGAAGCTGTTTTACTCTGTCATAATTACTAGTTTTTAGAATATACTGTATATAGGCTGCTGATTGTTTTTATATACACTGTTCCTCAATGAGTCTTTGTTTGACCAAAATACCCACACAGGCTATTGAGCATTACTAGCATTCATAGTTGTGTGTTCATCTTCTGTCACAAAAATCCTTTTCTTGACACTAAAGTAAATTTTTAGATTGATTTGTGTGATTTTTGCTCTTAAACAAGTTCCTCCCTGAGCTTACTTTTTCTAAGTACTCCCCCTACTTCATTTGCAGCTCTTTCTCACACATGATGCATATAAAAGCAGCAGTTATGATCATTTAGATATTTAAACACAAACTTGTACCCTCACTTGTCAGTGAATTGTTCACAACATTTAATATTTAGCTTTTTTGTATATAAGCTTTTTCTTCTTATGATACTCTGTGAGGGAATAATAAAGAAAACAGTTCCAGAATTGTAGGATACTGAATTTTTTGCATATAAAAGGTTCTTCATTACAATCTGGTCAAAGGAAAGTATTTATTGCCTATAACTAACTATATTTATTCTTTGTCATGTAATCTGCTCTGCACCAAGGCATTTTTTTACCTCAAGAAAGATAGAATAGTAATATTGAAGGGAAAATAATTACATGTAAAATTACATTATCTTTTTGCCCTTCCCCTCTTCTCATTAGTAGTTAACTAATACCTTTTGATAATATCTATCTGAACCATGTTGCACTGATTTGTTTACATGATCTCTAACTCAGCTAGAGTTTCAGGAAACTTTGAACAAAGATGTCATGGTAGTTGCTGCAACAAATAGACCAGATATGTTGGATGATGCCTTGCTCCGTCCTGGAAGGCTGGACAAGATGATTTATATTCCTCCTCCAGATCTGAAGGTATTACACACCATATGTGGCTTTAAAGGGAGAGATATTAATTGCCAGCATACTTTAAGAGCAAAGGGAGCATATTACTGTAACATACTTAACAAGTGATGGGTGTTTCACTGGAGATCAGTCACCAAATTCAAGGTACAATGAAAAAAATTAAAATTAATAAAGATATTTGTATTTTAAAAACCAATAATATTTTAACTGGTGTAGGTCGTTATCATATTGCATATGGAAAATAGAGAAAATGTATATTTACAAAATCAAGCTACAGTTCAGGAAATGCCAAAATAAGTTGTCTGTCCTTGCTTCAAATAATTTTTGTGTACTGTTCCCAAGGCTAGTGTAGCTATTTGTCCTGGGCTTCACAAAAACAAGTTGTCCCAAAGCATGCCAAGTCAGGCCTGTTCAGCCTAAAATACTGTGTTTTCATGAAGCAAGGAGTGACTGAGAATAATAGACCTTAAATATATGAGACAACCAGAAGTGCATTATCTTTAATAGCATTTTATTCTTCCACAAAAAACAGGTAGTTCTGGTGCTTTTCTGGATTTTCCTTGGCTCTAATTTCAAGTTTGGTACTGCTTTGGAGAAAGATTAATTTTTGGTTTGTTTGGTTTTGTTTTCTTGCATAATATGCACCAATTTACAGGGAAGACTTTCCATTTTGAAAATCTGCACTGAAAAAATTCCATTAGATACTGATGTGTCATTACAAGATGTGGCAGTCCTAACAGACCTCTTCTCTGGAGCTGATATTGAAAACCTGTGCAAGGAGGTAAGAAATATTCCTGGCTCATCTGTGAAATAAACTCTGAATAACAACTTTGAATGAAAAAAGAGAGCTAACTCCTAGATGTTACTGAGCCATCTGTAGTAGAGGTACTTTCCCAATTTGCATTGAAAATCCAAAGAAAATGGTTAAAACAGAGAAACTGAACAAGGGTTCATTATTTAAATAAAATGCTATGGTAACCTTACTTGGATCTTTATCTGTTGTTAAATAAACATAAGTTATACAATGCTGTTTTCAGATGCTTTAACTAATGCTTTGTTCCTTGTAAGATATTTTAGAATACTTACAGTATTCTTTGCAATTTAAAACATGATAAGGACTAAATTGTTTTTTTTTTTCTTCTTCTTTTAAAGGCTGCTTTGTTGGCATTGCAAGAGAATGGACTTGAAGCAACTGCTGTAAAACAGGAACATTTTGTGAAATCATTGCAGATTGTAAAACCATCTTTAAACATAAAAGACTTGGAATTTTATGAAAAATTCTCTAATCAAGAATTAGCCCCTTGAATCTATAAAGGAGTGGCATAAGTATTTTAAAATATATTACAGAGATTTTGAAAAGGTTTGCATCTTTCCTGCTTTTTAATACTGTACTTACTGTAGTTTTCAGGGAGTATGAAATACAGTAAAGTGTCACTTTTGAAAAGTTTTGTAATTTAAATAATGAATAATAAATTAAAATCTTGTTTCCTTTGGGTAGGTTTACATCTGATGAAACAAGTAATTGAAATACTTAGATAAAAGACCATGGAACAGCTTAGTGTTACTCTAGATTTCCTACTTTTAAGTACAAAAATGACATAATAAGAAAATGTAAGATGTGTTGTGAAGTCTCCAAAAGACAGCAAATATGTAAAAAGTAGAAAAGCTTTCAGGAAATTAAATAAGAAGTCCCACCCTATATAAAATGTAAGGTGTTTTACATGTGCCTGCCTAGGCTTACATCCTTACAAGCAGATTCCAAAATATAGTGGCAGTGAAAGGGTTGCCAGTGCTTAACTCCTTGGTGTAGGTTTGGATGTCAGGGGTTTTGGGAGTAATTTTGGATGAGTTACTGCTTACTGTACAAACGTTTGGATTGACTAAGCAGACACCAAGTATGTAATCAACTCAAATTATAATTTCTTCTTTAGAAAAGGGAGTTCACATAATGACAATTTCTGCAGAATTATTTTCCCCACCCTTGTCAATACATTTTTGTAGGTTGCCTTCTAAAATACAGACACTTCTAAGGAAATTGGCATTACATGTATGTAAGTATGCATTTTACCTTACTAGAGTAGGAAGGTTTTTATTATTTTTTATTACCTTTCCTTTTTCCCAGTGAAATGCTTGGGAACAAAAATACACCACTGTCAAAGACAGTTCCTTATTTTAGTTGAGGTTCAGTAATTATAAGCCCATTAACAATTATTTCTCTCTCATAACAGGCACACTAGGGACTGCAGTGTGTGGTTTATAGTGAGATGGATCACAAAAGGAAATTCCAAGGCAGCTGGTGAATGAGGAAGGCAAAAGCCAGTGGTAGAAGCTGTTGAAACCTAGGAAAGGGTTCAGATACAAACAACTGCCTACAGCTTGGCTTTCATCACCAATTTATAGAAAGGACCATCCTGTAGCTTTATTGGTGTAAAACAAATAGTGTTCATGACCTTCCCAAATACACAAAGGTTTCTGAGTAGCAGTGCTGAGAAAAAGTATGAAAACTGTCTGATTTGCTTCCCAGTGTTCAAGAGTTTCCATTGGAATTGCTGGATCTCAAAGTTGTTACAGTAAGATGCTGCCAGCTCCTCAAAGATGCTGGTCCTTCATTTCCACACCATTTCCCTAGAAGCACCAGCTGAGCTGCTGCTGCCCTGTCTCTGTTCTTGCTGCAGGGGGCGAGCAGAACATGCAGTAAGGGCAGCCTCTCCTTCCTCGGGAAGAGAGAGGGGAGAGAAGGGGAGAAACCAATGTACGGGAGTCACCTGCTCTCACCTCCAGCCTGCCCCTGGCAGTTTTTCTCAGAGAGGGATATTGGGAAGTGATAGGAGCTGTGGAACACAAGAGTGATGAGAACCTGGGCCCGGTTTGAGCTTTTGCTGCAGCGCAAGGGGACATGGTGACACCGGGCTCCTCTTTTGGTCACTATAGGCACCTCTCTGAGCTCTGAAGAGGCAGGCTCTGGGCTTTTGCCTGGACACCCTGTTCTTTGAGCAGCTGTCTGGAGAAGGGGGCAGACAAGAGGACAAAGGAGAGGTGGAGAAGCCGGGTGGGAGCGCTGCAGCCCCGGAGAGAGAGGGATCGGCCGCTCGCCGTGGCACCGGCAGGGGGCGCTGCGGGCCCGCCCCGCGCCGGCCGCTGGGGGGCGCGCTGTCCCGCCCCCTCAGGGCGCGGGGCTCAAAGAGCGCGGGGCGGGCCCGGGCGGCACCTCTGCCCGCCGGGGAGAGCCCAGAGCCGCAGCCGCTCCGAGCCGCCAGCATGAGCAAGGGCATCCTGCACACGCTTAAAACGAAGAGAGAAGTGAGTTTGCCTCAGGGCTCGGGGCCGTGGTTACCCGCCCGCGGGGAGGGATGCGGGGGGCTGCACCAGGATTGCCGCTTGATTTCCCGAGGAAATGGGACCCGCGTAAAGTTCGTGTATTAAAAGTGAGCTGTGGAGGAGGGCAATGTAGAGGTAAAAGTGAAATTCGCATATCAAAAGTGAGGTGGTGTAAAGAGTTACATAGAGTTAATGTAGAGGAACAGGTGATCCCTGCCTAGTTCTGTGTAACCCTTGCTCACCCTGTTTGTGGGTCTAGGAATTAAGATCAGCTCTTTTCTCTATTTTATCTTTCAGCTCATTCCCCTGGCCGGAATATTGTCCTTGGCAGCAGCTGGGGCGTTCTCTTTTTGTGTCTACTCCCTATTCCGCAAATCTGATGTGATGTAAGGAAAAACTTCTTGTTTGGAGCTTACCCTAACTTGTTTTATTGAACCAAGTATTTGACCATCATGTTTTACACACAAAAAAAAAAAAAAAAAAAGCTTACCCTAACTTGTTTTATTGAACCGAGTATTTGACCATCATGTTTTACACACACAAAAAAAAAAAAGGTGCCAGGCACATGTTCCAGAGTACTGGGAGTACTGATAATGACTAAAGCATCTGCAGATTGTAAATAGTGAGAAAATTAATTTGGAGTGTAGTCTAAGTTATTTCCTAACTTTTGATTTAATAATTATATTTTTTTCTTTGCTTTAGGTATAAGAAGTTTTAAATGTTCTAATCAAGAATTTCATATAATCACATAGGTAGATGAGATGCACATATATTGCAACCAGTCTATTAACTTGTATATAAAGAGCAGTGTTTGATAGTATTCCAATGGCTTGGCTGATAAATGGAGCCAAATCCTATACTCTTAAAGGTTTTGGGAGTTTATTTATTTATTTTAAAGTGATTGGAGTAGTATTTTAACTATTGGGGTAAAAGTCCCTTTACTTTGTGTCTTTACTCAGTTTTGATTTTTCAGCTTGCTTCCCTCACAATGATATGTGGGCAGTGCTGGCTTGCTTGGTGCTTTGGAAGCTGCAAACAAAGCAACCCATCATTGATTCCTATCCAGATTTTAAAATATAGTGCCCAAATCTGTAAATTTGTGTTTTAGGGAGCTCCTTATTAAAGTGAATAGCTCTACTGACAATAGGCTGCTCATATGAAAGTGTGTTCAGGGACACACCTTAAAACATAATACCTGTTTTATCTTCTTTTAAAGCATTCACAAGATTGGCAGTTCAGAACCATGGGAAACTATTGATCCTGCCAAGCCTCAGAAGGTAATTTGTACATATAATGTATGTATAAATAGCATAAATTTCCAACACAATGAATCACTTCTTTCAATGTGTAAGAACTAGCAAAATGTGAACGAGAGAACAAGTGTAAAGTTGATGTGTATCTAATTAAAAGTGGAAACAGATGCTTAATTCATTACTTTATGTCTTCATCCTATTAGCTAATGATAGGGATCTCTTACACTGTAGGTCTGATCTTAAATTCATGCTGTTCTGGTTGTTGTCCTATGTCCATTCCCACCCCAAACATCCATTTACTCAATTCCATTGATAACAGTGGAAACTTGGAGTATGGAGGAAGTGCTGTTTACCCTTACCTTGTTCCTCAATTACAGACTTGAATAAGAATGTTTAAGTACTGTAGCCTGAAGGAAAAATATCTTAGTTTATTAGAGCACTTAGGATAAGGAAAAGTAAAATTATTTGGCATGATTACTTAATATCCAAGTGATTTTGTTCAACAAATTATTATGTCATCTGTTGCATATTTCTGAATGGAAAATATAAAGCCACTAGAACTTCTTCAGCAATAAGCTGATCTTTGATATGGGGAGGTGTGGGAGTGGAGGAAATGCTCACTGGGATTTTACTAACTTCCATGTTTTCCATTTCTTCCAGCTGGTAACAATCAATCAGCAGTGGCGACCTATAGAAGAGCTGGAAGAGGTCAAAAAGCTTACGAAGTGAGAAGTTTCTGTTGCCTCAAAAAAGTACCCTATGAATCTAGTGGAATCACTTCTGCACAAACTTGACTACTGAAATCAGTGTGCGGAAATGCTTCTGCTACATTTTTAGGGTCTCCCTACATTTTTTTGGACTCTGGATGAGGAGTTTCATGTTGCTTTAGAAGCTGGCATACAGCATCCACATAGTCCAAAAATCTGACTCAAAATAATTATTTTCAATAAGCATTTGATGTAAATTTTTGAGTATTCAGATGGTAATTATGGATCAAAAAAACCTTCATCAAAACTTCAAGTTTTTGTAGAGTTTCAGGATTTGTTTCAAAATACATTAGTTTTGCCATTTTACTCATTTTTAAGAAAATTAATTCTAAGTTTATGCATTTCATGTAAATTGCCCAAAAGCCTTTCTGAATTGGGATTCCTGGTCTCCTTCCTTTCTATTCTGTATTTCTATGTTATATAGAGACCAAAGTCACAGCCAGAGGATGTCTTTGTATGGCAGCATATGTGGTCATACAGTACACTTGCATTCCTTGGCTGTGTTAGATGTGGGGACAGATTAAGTCGAAACTAATGTTGTGCTGCAAATACTGAAACTTATCCACTGAGTCCAGTAGGTTATGTGAGGGTGTATTTGAGACTGCAGATTTAGAACCTCAAAACCTAAGAGTTAAGCATGGCTAGAAGGGAAATGAAAATCAGGTAATTTCTTTTGTATTTAAATATTGTTCATTATTAAATTTTTTGATGGTACTAGAATTAGAAAATCTGCATTATCCAAAACTACACAGTGTTGATTTCTTCTTTTTGTGCAAGGTTGTTCAAGTGCAAGCTGCAATGTACTGCACAATTAACAATATTTTTAAAGATTTCTACATGCTATTAGGAATATCTCTCTTATCAAACAGAAACTAAGATTAAAATTAGGAATGATTCTATGAAGTTCTTCTTTAAGCTTCTGTGTGTTTGCTTATGGGTTGGCCAGGGAAAGAATGTTCCCAGTAAAATCATGAGACATGCATCCAATGGCAGAACAGTCCTTTTGTAGATATTTTCTGCATGTGTCCTCTTCCAAGCAGTTTCTCAATCTATTCTACAGTTCCTCTTAAAATGGATGGTAAGAACTCATAATCCTTTCTGTGAGGAAGAAACCAAAAGTGAAACAGCTGCTAATTGAGAAAAGTCCCCTTAAATGAGTAATAGTCAAGTGCTTTAGGTTATTCTGCTGCAGCAAAGACAGACTTCATTTAGAAAAGCTGTCTCCTGAATTCCAAGGTAGCTTGGCTTCAGAAGCTGTTTTCTTCAACTGAGGAAAAAAATAATCTACATGTTGCATAAATATTTGTTTATCTAGTAAGGATGACTCAGCAGCATTTATGTTTTAGAGTGAGAGGAACTAGTAGTCTTCAGAATAAATCCTTAGCTTGCATTTAAGGAATGATATTACAAGAAGATTGAATAGCAGAGAACCACAAAAATACAGAGCTCTGAGGAAGTTTTAAGTATTTTAAAACAGAAAATATTTTAAAATATTTCTCTGTATTTCCATATTTCTACTGGACTGTAGCAAAAACAAAGTGGTGTGCCCTGAGTTGATGCATTAATTGAGTTTGTTCTTCAGTAAGTCACTTTTTTTGGCTGCAAAAACTATGACCTAAGTATAAGTCAACATTGGGAAAATAAGTGTAAGTAAATTTTAGTTAATTTTTGTATTTAGCCACATTTCAGTGATGTTTCCAGTAGCACATTAAGCAGTGTGACTGCTGTCAGTACAGGTTGCTGCTTCTTTTATCATGTCCTGAAGCATAACAGCTCTGGTAATAAAACTGTTTTGCTTTGTAAGCTGTTCTGTTTTTCTTTATTAATACAGATTTTTGGGGAGGGTTTTCACACAATATAAGAAATCAATTTTTTTTTTGGCGGTTCAAAAAGATTATGAATGTTGTTGAAGCTGTTGGGGTTTTGTGTCTTCTCTGACTATCCCTAAAAATCTGTCTCCTGCATAGAGGGTTTTTTCTTATAAGTAGCATACACCAAGAGCAATTACTGTGTCTCCCCAATCAGCTACTCAACATAAATCTATAAAGCAATGTACAGGTTATTTCCTTGTTCTACAAACAGTAAAGATTCAATTGGTTACATTTTCTGAGCTGATGTTTATGAGAACAGTAAACTTCCCTAATCTGTGTCATGCAAACCCATTAATTTTAATTACACGAACAATTTAGAGGCTATTGAAATAATTTAACAACTTTCTTATCTCTCTCTATTTCCTTTGCTCTCTCAGTCTCTTATTCCATTCTGTTCTTGGTTTTGGTTTGGTTGATGCTGGCTTTTTTTAACAACCACTATCTTTGCTCACCATATCTAGTACATTTACATGGAACTATATAACTACCAAATTTCCTATTAATTATGGAGTTTAATAAAAGTGGTCACTAGTTTGTTAGGGTTTGCAGTATAGGTTAGATACCATTAGAAATGTGTTTTAATAGTTCTAATCACTGTTGGAAATCTGTCATTAGAATCTACAGTCATGCTTCTCTAAATTTTTCTATGTAGCCCATATGTAAATAGCTTTCTGGAAGAACAGAAGAAGACTGCTTTTTGCAGTGTATATACAATGAATTGCTAATTTTTGTTGTTCCAGTAGTACTTCAAGGCCTTTAATCTGCAGATCTTGTGATGGTGTGGTTATCAGAGAGCTGTGCTGGGGATTTTTGTTTCTACATGTGATAGCCCCAGTGTCAGTATTTCTCCTTCTGACCCCTGCATTTCTCTGCCACAAGGTGCTATTAATGTAGTTCTGCACTGTCTGGTTACTTCAGTGGTGACTTTCTGCAGAAAACAGTAACTTACAGAGGGGGCTGATGCAACTGTTGGAGGAAATGGTTCATCCTGCAGTTCTGTCTGCCTTAGCGCAGAGGGGGGCTGTGTCCCTAGGACTAGATGGAAAACAAACAAGAGTAATGGGAATGATTCACTGAATCCAGCCAATATTTGGTGTTGGACACTTCTGAAAAAGCTTTCATGTTAAACAAACATGGCGTGGTTTTCCTTTGCTGTCTGAAGCCTTTGCTGTCCAGCACATCCACATGCCAGACGGGAGCACAAGGACAGTAAAATCCTAAAAAAAGTATAAAAAGTGTCACTGAAATAGAAATAAAAGCAATCGTGCTGGCTTGGCCTGGGGCACTGGGGTTGGACTTGGTGAGTGTTGTCCCTCAGGTGCTGATGTGAGCAGGGAGCAGGCAGCTTGTCTGCCCAAAGCTCTCTCCGTCGGGAAGCAGCCGTCGCAGTAATGCCCCCTGCGAAGCCGTGAGCTGACACCACATCCAAAGCACCTTCACCTGTGTGCCTCGCCCTCGCCAAAGATCACACACCCTCACCCAGGCTCTGCCACCCCTATTCATGCTGGACCTTGCCCAGATGAACAAGGGGTTTAGTTCAATTAGTGTTTACTTTTAGATAATTTTGTTGTGCATTTGTTCTGAGCCATTACTGGGGAGGTGTTGCCCTTCAGGGCTCACCTAGGACGTGGGAGGGCCCTCACAACATGGGGAGCCTGGGGCCTGGGACAGATTTCACCCCAACAAGTGAGAGCTGGGTATAGGCCAGTGCTGGCCTTCACTGCCGGGTTACCAAATTAGTTTAAATAAACCCTCATCTCTTAGCAACAGGTGCATGACAAAGGATTTGGTGTTGGTTTCCACATTTAAGACTTCCAAGGTTTGCCCTGGTGCACCAGGCTGGCTCTGTGGCCCCTGTTCAGGGCTGTGACACTGCACGGTTGTGTCCGGAGTCCCTGGAGGTGTCCGGGCTGTCCCGGCTGGTGGCTCTGTGTGTGCAGCCCCATGAACAGGCCTGGCTGTGCAGCAGCAGCAGTGACAGCCAGAGCTGGGGTGCTGGGCTGGCAGGTGTGCTCCTGTCCTGGCTGGCAGTACCATTTCTGCTGCTCATGGCCAAGATTTGAATCTGTGTAACATTCCCTGAAAGGTCCGTGTAAATAACTTAGGACTTCATCATGCAACATTTTTGAAGATAAGTCACTTTTGTGACCATCTCTCCATAAGGTTTAAAAAGTACTTGTGAGCATCTGTTAAAATTCAGAGGAAGCACAAATTTGAGCCATAAACATAAACATGCATTATCTTTCAACAGATTCACATAAAAGCATTTGCATTTTTCTTTGAATTTGTTAACAAATTTACATTATGTTGGTAGGTAGGGTCCATTCCATTGAAAGCTCTTTCTAAATTATGCTGCTGCAGAAAAATAAGAGCCATATCTGCTGATAATATTATGGATGGATCTTGCTCACCCACTTCTATCTGAAAGCTCTTTCTAAATTATGCTGCAGAAAAATAAGGGCCATATCTGCTGATAATATTATGGATGGATCTTGCTCACCCACTTCTATCTGGATATCTTTTGTTTTGAGTGAGGACTGTTTTGTTACTGAAATTCTGTTCATCTGGTTGTTTCTTTGCAAGTAAATGGTAAAATAATTTGTTCATGTTCTGGAACTCCAAACTTGAAGTGGTCTGGCAGTTTTTAATCCTAAGCACTATAAATCACAGTGATCCCTGTAGCCTGGCAGACTCTGATAGTGCCAGTCCAGACAGAAGCTGTGAAACAGCTTTTTTTCATTTGTGTATTTTCTGAGTAATTAGAAGACATAATTTCTGTAAGTTCAAACTCCCTTAGCTCTCCCTCAGCCAGATTTGCTGACTTCGCTGACCCCAAGTGTTGCTGAAGCAGGGAGAGGAGATGATAGCTCTTGAACTTGGGACTTTTATTACAGACATTGATTTTATAATCAGATTTCCCTGCTGAAGGGCATGGGAATTCTGCATAGACATTGCTGTTACCAGATTATGGTAACCTGAGAATCTAGAGACTCTAGAGGATAAGTCATTAGGATACAGCACTAAAAATAGACTATGGGGACCAGAGCTCTGTAGCAATCCTGTCAAAATATTAAATCATGCAGTCCTAAGGCAGATCCGCCAGCATCCCACTTTGTGGTTCCAGTTCTGTAGAACTCTTTGGTTTTCAAGCCACATTCTATCATTTGACTCATTTTTACAGTATTTGGCATGAGACCAGTGTGGTGTGGTACTTTAGAGGTAGACTCTGGGCTCAAGGACTGCATCAGCCTTCTGCATAGAACTGTATCTTATCTTCAGAAAGCACTGATGCTGTGTGAGGTGTAAATGAGGAACCTCCCCACTAGATCATAACAGAGATTGTCAACAGCATCATGTTAGTGAAAAGCTGGAGTTCTTTCCCTTCCTGTTTCAGTATTGAACATTGTGAATTTTTCATTGCAAAGTTCTGTATTAGCTGAGAGGTCAGAAAGCCACACAAAGTCTGAAAAACTTCTTGCATGTAAATAAATGTGTTTAAGCTTTCAACTTTAGCAAAGCTCTCACATTCTTCATCTCCTGTTGGTTGTTGCTTTTTTAATTGAATTAAGTGTATTTCCCATAGGGAGGTAACTAATAAACACCATCCTTTATCTGCTGCTGCTGCTGCACAAACAAGGAAGCAAATTCAGAAAGTCCTGATCCCTGGTAGCAACAGAAAAATCTTATCAGTTTGCCAAAGAAAGGCAGCCATCTACTGCTAATAAATCACCAATTCACTACATTAAAAGAAAGGGAAACGTTTTTTAATTGAAACTGTTAAAATTGTTTCATTTAATGATGCATCTTTCCCTTCTGCTGTGACTTCTTTTATAATTCAGTAAAGCCTAAATATTTTTTGAAGACTGTTAGCACTATGCTGCCCATGCTGTTAGCATTATTAAATATATTAGCATTATGCTGCCATTACTGTGTTTAGTTTTCCTCTTGGCAAATGCTTTGAATGAAACATGCTATGGTCAGAAAAAATTAATTCACCTTCAAGACTGCTGTATCCACCTTACTCCCTAAAGCAGAAATCCACAGCACAATCCCAGTCACAATGACTTGCAGTTCTAGTCATTGCCTCATTGCCCAACTCTTGCCCACAAATTCCATGTTACAATAGCATGTTTTACAAAGTAGATGAAAAACCATTAGTTTGAAGTTAGGTGAATGTTTTATACTGATTTCAGAGAGGCATGGAATTAATACAGCAAAGTTTGCAGTGGTTGTGTATATGTACTAGTATGTGTTTTTTGAAAATTCTCTCTCAAGAAAAATTAAAACATTTAAGAACTGGGCATGTCTGTGCTCAAGTTCCTGCATTTTATTAGTTCATAGGGGAGGTGTTTCCACTACACAAAACAGGGTGTTACAGGGAAGTTGGTGTTTGAGGCTATGCTGTTGAGAGTGTCACTTCTCAGAAGGTGTAAAGGGCACAGGTGTACACCCTGTGCAGTAAACAGAATTACCAGCCAAGTCATAGGTGGATTCCCTCAATAAAGAAACAAAGAGTTTGACCTTCCTTTCTGCTTTTAGAAATCCTCACAGTTGTCTGGCTGGCAGTGCCACAGGTATAACCTGCATTCCTTAAGGAATAGTACAGCACAGGGTATTGCTGTAGCTACAGGACATTTGTTGAAATGAAGTGTAATCAGTTTCAAAAACAAAAGCTAACTGAAATTCTTTATCTACTGGGCTTTTTTCTTCTTCACTAAACAGATAAAAGAAAGTGTGGCAACACAACAAAGAAGGGAGATGGGGACAACACTCCAATATTCTTTTTTTCATACAGTAATTAAAGTTTTTGGTGTGGGCTAGACAGGTAAAATGTACCTTGTTTAGGACTATAAAACCATCAGATGTCTTAGTTGAACTGCACAACAGATCAATTTATGCTGCAGTCTGTAAAGGAAATTGGTATTGATTTCATTTCTGACCACCACAACTTGCTCCAGATACAGCAGTGTGTTCCATACTTGGTTGCATGGTAGTGTAATGGAGTCTAATGTTTCCCAGTTGCTGTCTGCACTACCCCATGACCTGGCTTTGGGTTTTTTGTTCCCTCCTTCCTTTTTTTATACACGAACACACCTTGTATCATAAACAAAACATGAACTCCTAAAAAGAAATTTTTAAAAAGCCATGCAAGCAACCCTGCAGTATGAATACCCCTACTTAGCCATAGGAGGTAGTGGACTGATTAGGAGGATTTAATTTTGTTATTACTCCAGCTCTGTGAGCAGCCTCTTTCTAGCTCTGACAGCTCCAGTTAGGTACTAGCTCTTCTATTGATCCTCTCCTCAGAGCAATCTCAGATCTAGTAAGAACTTTCTGTGGAAGAAAAATATTCTGCTTTCATTGCTTCTTTACAAAGACAGTTAATAGAGTTAATGTAACGAGATATCCTGCATAGCTGTTCACATCTAAAACATATCTTCATTTACAGCTAACTGCCCATGAACCTTTAACATTTGATAAGCAGAGAGTTACTGTCCTTTGATTTTTCTGTTATATGACTTGAACTTTGCTCTGTGACAAATTGAGGAAGCTAGGTTGCTTGAAAACCATACTCATTTATTCCATCTAGGTTCTGTTTCAAGCAAATAGAAAGAAACCAGTGCGTAACTGGTTGGGCAATTTGTTTCCAGTTTAAGGTGTGTCTCTTCTGCAATAGCTTAGAAAATACAGAATTGCTTAATAGCTTCAAGAAATGAAAGAAGACTTTACTGGAAGGATGTTGTGGTCTGAGTTCATCAGCCTCCCTCATCTGTATTTTCTCTCTCTGAGCTCTGTTCCACTAAATCCAAAACCACCACTGTACTAGCAATTACAGAATGTAAACACAACAATATTTGTCATTTATAATTGTACCTGCCTAGTTTGAAACAAAATGGTTTCCCTCAGTTTATGTTTTTGATTGAAAGTGCCCTCTGATTCCTCAGAAAAAAGCACAGTCAGAAATGTTTCAGATGGAATCATCTGTTGTCCTGGAAACATGAATTCAGCATCCCAAAGAAGGAATACTTATTTTCATAGAAACAAAGGGCTTGCATCATAACTTGCCTTGTTAAGTATTAATATTAATTAATATATTCTAATTACATTTCAGATATCTGTAGCCTTAACTAATTTCTACTCATATGATTTTTTTCTTAGATGTTTATAACTGGAGGAAAGCACTAGAGCTTGCATTCCATGGTATTTACCCATATATGCCTTCAAGAAGTGTCTAAACTCCTTCCCAGTAACTGATTAGGCAGTCTGTGCTAGGTTTGTGCTTTTCCTTATTGCATCCATTAAAAAGTTAAATCTCCTGTGGGTTTTTTTTTTTAGGAAAAAATAAGAGGGTTTGGTGGGGGTTTATTTTAGGGGGGGCAGGAGTGTTTTGGAGTTGTGTTGCTGTTTCTTTACTTACACAGAATATATTCCCTTGCCAGCGGGAAGTGGCCGTGACGCTCCTCAGCTCTTGGTGAACTCTGGGAGCGCAGCGCCATCGCCTGGAATAGCCGGGAGCGGCCTGGAAGGCACCAGGTGAGGAGGAGAGCCTTTGTCCGTACAGGTGCGTCAGACTTGTTCTCTCAGGGGAAACAGGAACACGAGAAATCTGTAAGAAAATGCAGAATAATTGCATGCTACGTTGAACTATAGAGCACCATCTTAACTATGAAAGTGTTTGTTTACAGTGTTTTTCTCAAAATTAAAAGGCCAGATACTAGACTTAGGTAACTGGTTTTATAAATTCATATTTAATCAGTTTATATAGGGATTTATTAAATAATTTCTTTATGTGTGTTTTGGGAAAAGAAATAGAAAGATTGCAGGGACTTGGGTGCTCTTAATGCACCTGGGATAAATGCAGTCTGCTTGCCATCTGGGTCCTTCTGTTTATTCATCAGCTGAACTAAAAATCCCTGTGTGTATTAGTTTACTATGTAAAACAATGCAGAACATACTCTATACAACACTGATGATTTATGTATCCTCATTTACTGGCTGATAATGGTCCTGGAGAAACAACTTAGCTTTTTACCATGTATAATAATAATAAGGCAATCATGAAACAGTCATCTTAAGGATAAAATTATACTTTTGCTTATGAAATGGCTTGCTTTTTTCCATAAATTGATGCCATTAAAGGTGTAAATTCTTCATAGCTGTAATAAATGCAGTTATTTTAACCTGCATATTTAGCACCAGTTGCTTTCAAACTGTGCAATACTGAGAGAAGACAATGTAGAAAAGGAAAATAGAGATAAAAGAGCAAAAATACTCAAAAGAGCAGATATAATGATGAGGATATCATCACTTTACAGCTTTACACACAGAAGGCAACTACACGTGTGTTTTAAGAGCAGATTGCTGTGGTGGCTGCAAAACAGTAAATGGAAAGGATCCATATTTATTCTAGTAGCTTCCAAAGTTGTGTCAGGTATTTGAAAGAATTAAAGAGCATGTAGGGTCCTACCTAGAGCATTCAGCTCTGGAAAATTGAATAAGGAGAGTAGACCAGTAGGGGATTTTCCAGCTCCAGAGCACAGAGACTGTCAGTGCCCAGCACGATTTGTTATAGAGGGGAGGAGAGGGTGAAACTGGGAAGAGAATTAAGGGTGGAGGACATTTATGTTTTTTATGGTAGAAAAGGAATCTAGAGGCTTTCAGAATAGGTCTTTGCTATGAATTAGCAACTTGGTTAGAAGACTTTATTTTATTGATCAAAGAGGAGATGATCTTAGGGCAAAGGCAGGCCTGTATTTGAACAGCACTGTTCTTAGGGTGTGTTCCACCCCTGGTGCAGTGAGAGAAACTCCTGGTGACCCTGAAAGCAGCAGGTGACCAGAGTGTGAGCTGGACATTGTTAATGAAACCGTGGAGAGGACAGAATATGGCAAGAAAACAGAGAGGGAAGCTGAGAGCAGTGGCATAATGCAAGGAGCTGGTGAAACATGACATTTGAGCGACGTGTGCTCACTCCTGGAAAAACTAAATGTATTTGGAGCAGTCAGCAAGAAAAAAGACCTTGGCAATGCCCTTTTGGATAGAGGGAAACGAGCTGGATACTTCCAGGGGATTGTTCCCTTCTCTTGAGAACTCAAGGGAACTTCTTCTCTGGCAGTGGATTAGTTTATTGGACTAGGAAGCTGCTGCAGTATGTACCGTGTCGTTTACCCAACTACCCATCTGTTTATTACACTTATACTTATTTGTAGAGAGAAATAATGCTTGAACAGCCCTGCCCTGTGCAGCATCAGTGCAGTGTCCTCATGAGATCCCACCAAAATACCTGAACGGAATCCTTGCCACTCATTACTTGATGGGTGTCTTCTGGGGTTTTTGCTTCTATGTCAGAAAATTACTTTTAAATGCCAGCCTTCTGCTTTTCTGAGTCACTCTGCCACTTGGGAGTGATTCTGCAAGAAATAGCAGATATGTACAGTAGTGAGATAATTGAAGACCAGATTCAAGTATGACATTTTAAATGGTAATTCTGCTGGTGAAGAAAGAAATGCTGCTGGTATTGAAAAGATAAAATGTCAACACAATTAAAAACAAAAACCAAACCACATAATTAGGCAAGGAAAACATTCAGAAACAAAATATGTTTCTGATAATTTTCTTCTTAGGATAAGAACACTTGAGAAGGGAAGAGTAGGATGTGAGGGTTTGCAATCTACTCATATGAAAATGTTTTATTGACTCATATGAGTAGGTTGTCATCAAAACTGTATCTGTGCTTCAGAAAAGGATGGGTGACAATCACTGATTTAGAAAGGAAAAACCTTCTCCAAATGTGGACTTTCAGAAGTAGCAGAATTTTCTCGGGATTTCATCTGTTCAGTCAGCAAGAGCATTCCACCACAGCTCTGAAAACCGGGGATACTGGCTGTGGAAACCCGCTTCAATCTCGGAAGTTTTTTGTTTAGAAAGAAGTTCTGTCAAGTATATGCATTTTCACTTCAGGGAGAGGATTTGTTAGAAGGAAAAGAATAGTGTAAGAGTGTGTGAACTATCTTAGCCACATTAAATAATCTGGCTTGGAAAAACATGAGACCTTATTTATAATAATGCCCCTTTTCTCTAAGCTAATACTGAAAGCAATCTTGGAGTATCTATAAAAATTTACTGATTCTTTTATTCTTTATTCTCATTTTGTCTTCTGTTGCCTTTTCTCTGAACTTCCAGTCCTTGGTAACAAGGGCCCCTCAAGGGTGAATGCAGGGTTTCAGGAATGTTTTGCCAGTTGCTTTATTATGATCCTTCACCATACTTGTCAGCTTATACCTTCTGAAGTGTAATTATTGCATGTGAAATCACAAGTCCTAAATTGTTCTGACTAAAGACAGAGACTTAATTAATTCTCTGTATAGCATCTGCAAACTGAGTTAAAGCTGAGTGTTTAGACATTGCAAAACACAGCTGCCCTAAGAATCAGACTGCTGTAAGAATTTGATGAGAGAAATACAAATAAATGTTTTATAAGACAATGTGAACTTTAATAATCAATTTAATAAAACCCACAATAAAACAACACACCTTTTTTCTTCAATTAAACAAATGTATACTAAATTATTAAAAAACTGCAAATACAATACATTTCTACTGTACTTCAACATTTAATTACATCAACTGTAAACCCCAATTTAATTAAAACCCATTTGAGCATTAGTATGTGCAAAATACCTGTTGTTTGTGGTTTTTTGCCAGTAAGTTTGTAAGGATGGGATGCACATTTTTCATGAACTGTGATATGGCTTAATTAATGATAGTGTTTGTATTGCAGCATTACCTTCCCCAGCACAGTGGTGCTTTTCAGCTGCACATGCTCCCATGCTGTACACCATGTTCCTCTTTCTTGCCCAAACAGATACAAACACAGTCCAGTGTTATGTGCACTTTGTCCAGATTCTCAATGTGCTGTCTGCTTTCATCAATAAAAAATCATCATGTGACCCCTACCTCCAAAAAGGGAAGAAAAGAACCCAAAATTGTTACTACCAAATGCAGATACAAATTAGCCTTATGAAAATGTGAAACCCTAGTGAGTTTCAAAACAGAAAATAGCTGAAATATTCACAGCTGAATATCACAGTAACTGTAACTGGGCAAAAGGTTTCCTTTCTGATCCACACAGAGAACTGCTTTTCATGTCAGTGGAAGTTCTGCATAAGGTGAAAGTACAGAATAAACAAAAAATATTTGAAGCCAAGTTCTTGCCCTCTTCTGAACTCTGTAGGTCATGTTCTTGCTTCCCTTAGCTTCTTGAATGCCAATGCCGTCAGAAGCAGGTTAAATCTGGGCTTGTAGGTGTATGATAACTTAGTGTAAAGATTTATTATCTTGGGTACATTCAAAATACAGGGGGGTTCCACAATGAGGCCAAACAGTTCCACCCTGTGGACTCTGAGCTGTCCAGATGAATACACAGTCTTTCCAGGTTGCCTCCTCTCTGCAGATACAGAAGGACCTTTCTGCCGCTGTAGGCTGTTATGATATTGCTGTCCAACACCTTCAGGTTACAGAGCTTGCTTGGATTTTGCTTCATCCATAAGCTAAGTAGTGGGAACTGCTATCACAGTGGCATTCCTGTCAGGATGCTGTCACGCCGTGCTCAAAGCAAAGATGAAAAGGTCAAAGATTGTGATGGATGGAATTGTGCAAGTCTAAAACTTCTGCTCCCCACTTTCCTGTTAGGTGCACGTAGCTGTAGATTGCATTTGAGAGGATTTCCAAGTCAAACATCACTTCTATCATTTGACTTTTCTTTTAAAACAAAACAATCATGGAAAAAATTATCAATTACAGGACATTTATTAATTACAATTAGAATGCATGCTAATCAACTGGCCTTTTAATGTGAATCAAATGATGGTTTAGACATTCAAGATTATTAATAATAAATTCCTCTTACAAGTCAAAACTTTGTAAAATAAATAACCTGTTTCTAATGTATAAATCCTATTCTAAAACACATTAAAGATAACTGATCACTTAAAACACTTTGGATCCAGTGTTGGGTCTCTAGATAAATACCAGAAGTCTGGGCAAGGATCTTCCTGTCTGGATCTCTGAATGCCCATATTAAAGCTAAATTTCTGGTCTGGGTACAGTAAATTCTGTGTTTTGCAGTGTCTCCAAAGAGACAGTTTCCATGAGAATCCAACTTAATGTATGTGTTAATAGTTTGAGATACTGTCTGAAAATTACTATTGCAAAAATACTGAATAATGAATTTGGGGATCATGATATATTGTGCAACCCTGGTATGATCAGCTTTAGAGACTTTTTACTGAAATACTGAATACCCAATGCTCCTTTTGGAGTGCAGGTACTTTGTGGTACGTAATGTTTAAAGGACAATATTGGACTGTAATTTGTGAGGTATCTGCAGAGCCACGTTCCAGTTTGTAAACAATAATCCAAACCCAGCTTTGTTTCAAAACCATAATAAATTGAACAAACCAGTACAACAGAGAGAGTGAAATACATGTTCTGTAGGGCAACCACTGCACTTTTTGCAGCACCAGTTCTCCCTGCTGCATGTCCCATGGTACAAATCCACATATGAATGGTTACTATTGGATAATTTTCATTTTGCATTTATTGCTCTCAGTCTTTGACTACACAAGGTAAAGAATAAGGCAGCAGTTCCCAAAACATATGAAATTAGGCACTGGAACTCTGACAATTCGCGCAGGTTTTGCTCATTTCCTGTTTGTAACTCTGAAGCTGGACAGAGCACTTGTACATTCCAAACGTGTTCAGCAGCAGCTGCCGGGCCTTGGACTGAACATCCTCCCATTTAGATGAACTACCAGGAACTGCAAAATAAAGAAAAGAATTAATAAATTCACTCCTTAAGAAACCTGAGCAATGCAGATGTTCTCAAACTTATCCCAGTGTCACCAATGAGAATTATTTTTGCTCACACTCTTTATTAATTTAATATTGTTTTTGTGGTCACTGTGTACTCTCTATCATTTTACAGCTCTCTTGATAGAACTCTTGTGTGTGTCTGATACTTTCCCCCAGAAACCTGAGCTCTCTTACCAAGAACTGATATTCATAGTATAGTTAGATGTCTGAATCAACACAGGTTTTGGCAAAACATTTATTTTTCGTATGTAGATTGTTCCACATTAGAACTTCACTCTTTCCTTCCCTAGACATGTAAGAAAAAATTCTGAGGAGAAATGTTGTGTTGGTGTTTTTTCCCTACCCAAAGAATCTGCATTGGACATTTGGGTATGAATATACTTTATTTGCACAGTTTTCATTTACACCATATCTTTCTTGGCCAAGGTGTTCTAATCCTTGCTGTACAAAAGCAGAGTTAGCAGATTTTCCTTCCCCAGAATGATCTTTCTTGGTTCAATCTAAATAACAATATGAAGAGGAAGTGGTGGGGTTTTTCCTAAACTTCGATTTAATTTAGAATTATGCTATCCAGCAGCTTACCTAGTTGCAAGTGGACTATGGCAGTTGTTTTTCCTGCAGTGAGAGACCAAACATTTAAATCTTCTATAGAATAAACATCCTCAATTTTCATGAGGTCTTCCTTGATGCGATCCACATTTAAGTGTCTTGGAACTCCTGTGATACCAAACATGAGATAAAATTAATTCTGTCTTCTGCAAAGTCTCATTAGCCTTTAAAGTGTCACAACAGATCTCAATGTCAAAGAAATTAGAATTTGTGCTGTTGGAAGTGATTAGTAACTTCTATGTTATCAACAGAAAATAATATTGAAATGGGCCTGGTATGGATACAGAAGTTGTACAGAATTGCAGAGCTGTCTCAATGGAATTTGTCCTGTCCAGAATCCACACTCTGGCAACAGCCAACATTAGATCCTTTGCAATGATGTACTTTTATTGACTGCGGCTTTTCACTGCAGTCAACAATTTCACTGCAGCTTCTAACTATTAGTAACCGTTTAGGCCAGACTCTAGGGTCAAAAACTTGTAAAAGAAAAAAAAAAAGCTAGGACCTGTCTCCTGAAACTGCTTTTCAGGTACCTGGATCATGTTCACAGGCTACAGTAATCCACGTGCAGTGGTCAGCACCAAGGACTGTATTTTACAGTGTCATCTCTGCAAGTCAGAGATCAAGTCCTTTTGGTATTTTCAGCAGTGCATCTCTAACTTACCAACACCATCCTTTTACTGTACAAAGGGCAAAATCAAAATTTTAGGTTATCAACTTGGGTCAAAAACTAATGCAAGTACTGCATAAACTCTTCCTGAGTAGTTTTGATGCTACAGTAGCTTTTATTGCATATCATCTAGTTGTATCAAGTTTCTTTATATATACTATGAGGACTTCAGCCACTTGCTTCTCAAATTTCTTCAGACTTTTTTCATGACTTCTCTGAACCTGGTGCCTTACTGTCTCTTAAATTACGTTATTTCCAGTACTATCTATTTTAAAGTTCAGTGTCTAGGACTGTCTCGCATGAAACAAAATTTTCCTTCTATTGGAGACCATCAAAAATTATTTAGCTGATAAAAAACTAGCAAGTTGGTTTTTTTTTTCCCCCCAGGAAAAATGGACTTAAATTCTCATATCTACATCATACTTGTGATGGGCTTCCATTCTGCCTTATAAATCTATATTAAAAGCTAGAATCTCATTGCTTGTGTTGGATAGCTATTCAATTTTTTTAATTAGCATTCTTAGTATAATCAGGAAACTGACGTTAATACCAAAAGTTGATACAACTTCCAGGGCTTTGATGTTACAGCAGTGGTTTCCAGTATAAATGCAAGTTCATTCTCTGGAGATCCTGGAATTTGAGTTGGAAAAGTTCCCTAGCATGTATAAAGCCCACATATCATCACTTTTAATGACATCATTAATTTGGAGATTTTTATGACAACTGGGATACCTATGCAAACAGCTACAACACAAAACATCTGGAATCTGATACTTCATTAGTTTGTTTTATCTGTTTTCTTCAGCTAAATCTATTGCCTTGGAGCTAATTGAGGGTTCTTCAGGTGATGTCATCATTTTTGCCTTCTCAGTGAACTTCTACTTTGCTGGATTTTTTTTTTAATCTTAAGCGACAGCAAAAGCACTTGAATTAACCTCATAACATAATAAAAGTAAAGTCAAAGGTAATTCACGAGACAGTTAGGAATGGGCAGTTAAAACCTAGGATTTTTCTCCCAGCCCTAAAATCTTCACTTTATAAAGTAATAGTACTTAGATCTAGTACTAGAGCAGTAATAGCTGGCACGTAAGCTGTGATAAAGCAAAGGATGTTGCTGACATGTTTCCCTCTATGTCACCTAAGATAAGATTCTTCAGCCCACATTCAGCTTTTTCTTCCCTTTTTTTTCCGTATTTTACACCACTCTTAACTTGCAGCTTCCCCTGTGGGAACAGTAGATACACACAAGTAATACAAAAGGAAAGGGGAAGACAGGACTGGCATGAACCACATGTCCAGCCATTTGCCTACGTTTGGTGCTTCCTTTTACCTGCATTTACATTCACTTTAACTGTACAAGTAATAAAAGTGAGAGTGTAGAACTGAGTCTGGGCAAATGTTCACTTGATTTAACTGAGAGTCACTGCAGACACACAAGAAAAGTTCTGTACATATCACATCTACATCTCCTGATGGTAAAGAGTGTGCAGATAGAGGATTTGTGTTGTTCTGGCCACGGCCAAAGATGCCCAAAAACTGCAACAATTTACAGGAGCCATAAAGAACCACCAGACTAAAGCAGCACCAGGACAGACAGGTCTCCAGGTACAATCCACATAGAAATGGGGATCATGATGTCAAGAAAACAGGTATTTTCCATGTAAAGTACTGCAGACTGGGCACAGATCTTACCTTCCAGAATAATAACTCCCGTGTCACACAGAATTCGAACTGTTGTAAAAACCACCAGTATGGAAAATACATATGTACATATAGGATCAGCAATCTTGTATTCTGGCTGCAAAAGAGAAATTTCACAATGTCAAAGGATGTATGAAAACAAGATCACTTACAAAAATGTGACTCAGAAAACATGGTTACTTCTAAGTTTCATTAATTTTTTGTTTGTTTGTTTGAACAGTTACAATATATGCACTAGAGACAGTTTTGCTTATTTTGCATGATGTATGAAGCTTACAATAAAATATAATTTAAAAGGTATTTTTAATAACATACAAAACCAGGCCCCTTTTGACTTTAATCACCAGAGCTGAACTGCCAAGATCCCCGGTGCCTCCAGGAGGGGCCCTTGCTCACCTTAAAGCGGATGATGTAGGCAGCCACCAGCACCCCGATGCTCTGCACCAGGTCCCCCAGGGCGTGCACAAAGGCTGCTCTCACGGCCAGGCTGCTGTGCCCGTGGCTGCCGTGCCCTGGGCTGTGCTTGGAGAGCTCGGCTGAGGTACGTGAGAGTGAGGGTGGGAGTGGGAGTGGAGGTGGCCAGATTGATTCAGCAAAAACCCCATTCTGAAAGTGGAAGAAGAGAAATGCTTTAAGAAATAGGCTTTAGGATTTGTTGGATGGGGAGGATTTGTTAGGGTTTTTTCATTTTAAACCAAATAATTGAAAAGTAATACTTGGTGTAATTTCTTGTCTTATTTGGGAAAATTAAGAGGTCCAGCAAAATTATCTCAAATATTATCAGCCTACCCACAAATATCGGAAACCTTGATTAAGTGTCCAGAGTATTAAGCTGGGTTTAGAAATTACTGTTATATAGCCTTTTGTATTTAGGATGGAGAAGAAATTACAAAAAGATAAAGAAATCTAACAAGTACAAACTTGTCACACATGATACTCTTAAGCTCCTTGACAAATGTGTTCATAAATGTTATCTGAGGCAGATTTCAGGTACAAAGGCTTGCTTAATGTAAGTTTCTGTAGTGCTGTGATATGCTGCTCTAACATTATCTAATATCATTTACCACATATTATTTCACAAAAAGCAAGAGCATTATGACCATTATTGTGGCATAGGAACTTTATCTGATCAGCAGAGACTTTCAAAAAGAAACATATATCTAAAGAAAGATAAAAATTAGAAAACTAATAAAAACTACTATTTCATTATCCTATGGTTTCTGCTGCCATTTACATCTGTGTAAAGTGGTTACAGTTCTCTACGAGGTTCCTGTTCTGATGGGAGGTAAACATGGATAAATATTTTATAGGTCAGGACTTTTGTGCTGCCTCAGTACTCCAGTCATGAAATTGTGCTGGTAATAGCACACAAACCCTGGGAAGGATGAGTCCACACTACAGTTTTAAGGTCCTACTATAAAGAATATAGGTATTTCCAAATGGGCCACTAGATTGCTTTTATCATAAATGTACTTTTACCCTCTAGCTTCATATTCTGAAAACTATCGTCTGCAGCAGCTGAAAGTTAAAAAAAAAAAAAGGCAACACAGCTGGCAGAGAAAACATTAGCCCAGTTAAAGACAGTTATAATCAAGTTAATACAGGGCTTTACAAAAAGCCCTGGGAAAAACTTAATGCTTGCTCCATTGTATTGCATATAAATCTGCAGCCATGCCTGAGTAATCTGTAATCATTATGCATAATGCTCATTACTGTCACTTGCCAGATGGATCACTGGGATCTCAGCCTTCCTCTGTGAACTCAAAGATCAGAGGTGGAATTAATTTATTTGGAGTTGTAATGGTTGTTCTTCCCCCTAGTTCCACACATGTTGCCCTGATTTATTCCCCAGTAAGGGCAAAATTCTGCCCTTGGCTGTACCATAGCTCTAGGAATACTCATCTGAGAATTGCCTCTCTTCTTCCTCTGCTTTCAATCTGTCAGCCTGCAGTAGAACTTGGGTTACTGCAGATGTCTTCTCTAACAGAGAAATGTTTTAATTTTATTTATTGAGTATTACAGAAAAAAACCCATGCAGCTATATCAGCATTTTAATGTCACCAAAATCAGTTGATCCATGTACTGAACTATTAGCATCATTATGGGAGAAGAAACTCACACCAACACATTCAGGTGCTGGGTAGTGTGTCAATGCCTGGATGAGGAACAGCATTACCAGGCAGTAACAAGGCTCTGAAAGTCAACTGTCATCATCTGAGATGATTTCAGAGCAACTTGAAAATCCTGGAAATATCCACAGAAATAGAAATTATCTTTACAAAGCTAGCAGATTATTCAGGGCAACAGTCCTAAAAATACACAATACATTGCTTAGAAGGTTTTACAGAATTCTTTTTTAAAAACTTGTGAAGCCACAGCACATTAGCATTTACCAGAGAAATAATATAGTGTGCTTTTACAATCTAAACCCATGTTTTCTGCAATGCAAACCAGTGTTTTCCTTGCAGAAAACTTCTTCCAGAGTCACTGTCATGTCAGCATTGTAGATTTGTGCTGAGATCTCTCCCTTCTTGTGAAATGAACTGTGCACAGTCTCAGTGGACTGGCTGATTCTGTCATTACTAACATTGTCTCTGCAGCAATGGATGAGTGCCAGGTTCCATATCTATGCTTAAATCTGCTCAGTGTCTTGCTGAAAAGGAGGTATCTGCACTTGGTGGGGAAACTGAACTATTTTTGGCTTCAAGAATTTAATTCTTCTTCAACATGACTGCAGTTTCCATTATTTTGTCTTCACTTTTCTAACCTATTCCTGAATCTGTCAGCTTCCTTTTCACAACTGAAAATGGAATAGAACTGAACATAGAACTTCTATATTATCAATTCAAAGAGAATTCAAATAAATGAAAATTAGTTCTAACTTCCTTCTGGAGTTTGACTAGACAACTAACAGGTCTCTTGCTTTTACAAGACATGTTTATGGGAATATCTGAAAATTCATTCTGCAATAAAAATGATAACAAGTACCAGAAATATTGTTCATTAGAACATTTTCATGCCTACTGAATGTATGGATTATCTTAAAACTTAACAGAGCAGGTCAGTGATGAGACAGTTCTTGCACATATCCCCAGCTTTAAACAAATAATCCACATATTCTTCTGTGACAGATGCCCAATCTGTACCCTACTTTTAACATCCTGACATGTTTTAACATCTCTCTTGTGAAGTTTAAACTATTGTTAAACTGACATTATTTGCTGACAAGCTTCTTACATATAGGTTACTTGAAAAAATATGTTACAACAAGGATATACCCTAGAAACTGCTTTGTTCCATTGCCAGCACTCACTGATGTGTGAAACTGGGCCCTCAGGCCACAGCATTCAGACTGGGTGCTTAAAATCAGGCAAATAAATTTCACAAATGTGATTTTTAAAAAGACAGTATATAGTAATTTTGAACCATTCCATCTTCTGTACTTTGGGGGTCCCTGGCAAAGCCTTGACTCCCTTCCTTCCTGCAGCACAGAAACTTTTCTTCCCAGGCCCAGGCTCTCCTGCTGCTCATCCACAGAGCTGCACTGCTGCTGCTCATGCAGGATGGCTGAAGGAAAAAGGAACCCCTGGAAACTGTAGTCCTGCCCAAAGGAGGGTCAGCTACAGTGGGTTCCTCAGGGCTGCTTCCAGGTGGGTTTCATGTATTTCCACTCCACAACCTGTTCTGCTCTTTGACCACCTGCTGGCACTGGGAGCAGAAAAGGAGGAGCAATTGTTGCAGAACTGAGAGGCTGCTCCCTGTAGCTGCTCCTAGAGAGAAGTACAGACCAATTTTATGGGCCACATTTGGCCCATGGACCACCACTGGATCAGTCTGGCTAGTATTTGACTAGTATTTTTCCTGGCAGTAAACTGGAAAGAAAAAATATTACAGAAAATGAGGTGGCAGGAGTCCTCAGGGATTTCTTCTTTCACATTAATTGAAAAGTCAGTGAAAATTTACAGAACTGAGTAATATTTTAATAGTTAAGTAAGGTCCTTTTATTTTTTTTAAGATAAACCCCTGTTTTAAGCTAGGCACGTTCAAGGTATATGCTATTTGATTTTACAGAAGTTACAAAGACAAAATTATTTTGAAATAGGGTTAAAGTATGTATAAATGCTAACATCCTTCTGGAGAGCAGGTTAAGTAAGGTCCTTTTATTTTTTTAAGATAATCCCGTTTTAAGCTAGGCACGTTCAAGGTATGTGCTATTTGATTTTAGAAAAGTTACAAAGACATATAAACTACCCAAATTATTGTGAAATAGGGTTAAAGTATGTATAAATGCTAACATCCTTCTGGAGAGCATGAGCAAATGCCAGGGGCATACCTGCAAGGTCAGGTTTCAGTATCAGAGGAGCTCCTATCACAAAATTAAAACTTCATGAAAGAAAAGTTTGTAATGGGAAATGCTGGCATTGCTAATGCTTTCTTGCTAGAGCCCCAAAGAGCTTAGCTAGTGTACAGAGTTATGCATTCATGCATAGTGACTAACTGATGACAAATGACAAGGAGTGATGGAGTTGTTGAATTCTGCTGCTGTTCTAGCAGCCAAAATAAGAATTGCAAATAATGACTACACAAGACTGAAATTCCTTGAAAAATGTATGCTATAGTGTGTTACAGAAAACAGGTAGAAAACTGGGACACTAGAAATTATCTATTTCATGAAAAAGATACTTTGAAGTTTTTGCTAAAATGACTACAGACCTGCAGCTGTGCATTATACCCAGTTAGCAACCACATAAAAACACCCTTTATCATCATTACATTTCCAAACATGAAGTAATAAATCCTGAAAATATTCTTCCAAGGGTTAGTCCACAATTCTGTTTAAACATCTTTTTAGGGACACCTAAACTGGGCAGAGGTTAAGTAATTTGCCTTATTTTGCAAACCAAAGGGCATTTTGACCTCAGCTTTCTGTGGTTTGGGGAATGCAAGAAGAATACTGATTTATACGAGTTCTGGCAGGGCAGAGCTCTCTAATAATATGTTCTACATAACTTCTTAGTTGTGGATTAAAATGTAATTTTTCACATTGAATAGGACCTTTTTCCAGTATCACAATTCTGCTGAAGTCAACAAGATTTTTTAAATCCTGGGCACTGGCAATAATCTGTTGTGAACAACCACGGGCTGACATGCACAGCTCCTGCACCAACAATGTCACCATGAATTCAATTGCCCAGCCTTCCTCTTCAAGATGGAATCAAGCATTGAGAATTTAACTCAATCTGCTAAGTGCCAGTTCCACAGAAATGGAGAGACTTGCCCTGCTCCCAGTGAATGAAATTCTGACATCAAACTTTTGTCAAACTTTAGGCCAAGTTTGTTTTTAATCTATTCACTTGTGGCAATACAACCTATGCAGTGTATCCCCAATAGCCAGTGAAAGGACACTGAGAGTCAGTTAAAGCAACTCTTAGGTTTGTTGCTTTCTTTCTAGCTACCTGTTCTTCTAAAATTAGGTACTCTAAGTTTTTGCTTAAAATACTCTTTAACAGCAAAATCTGATAGCTACATACCTAAGCGATGAAATCCAAAAGTGAACCTCTTTGTTGGAGATTTTGCAGACAGCCAGAGAGCGAGGAGGGTCAAAATAATACCACTAAGGTCAGTCAGCATGTGAAGTGCATCTGTCATAATTGCTAGACTGTTAGCAACATAGCCACCTGAAAACATAATAGGAAAAGTCAGGACACATGACATTTTTAATTATTTTATATAATATCCTCTTGCATAGCTTACAGTTATTCCTTTTCAGAATAGTATATGAGAGCCCTTCTTATTCCCACAAAACATGGAGGGGTGTTTGCCTTTACAAGGAAAATGCCATGCTGTAATTTAAAGCTACCATAGTTAGAAGTGCAGTCAAGTGTGCTTTCTATGAAGAGTAACATAGAAAGGATTCACTCCTGTTATTCTAACAGAGACTACTTGCATAATGTTTGCAAGATAAGGTCCAAAACAGTTTTGTATCTTTTCTCTACATATTACTGCACATGTGTTTAATCAACTGATTCTTTTGTTAAACTACATCTGTTCAACACTCTGACATAACAGAACAGGAACAGAACTCCATAGATTCAATGACGAGGAAATTTACCCTGTCCCCTTTTTATTTTTATTATTTCATCATTTAACCTTAATTATTCCCCATCCTGGCAGAAGTGTGTAAGTTCTTGCAATATCTATTGCAGACAATGACTTTCACTGATACAGCATTTTTCTTTGTTATTTATTACCATATTTTTTATTGTAATTATGAGCTGCATTGAGACAAATAAACTGAGATCAAAGGTTAATATCTTTGTTCCAATTCAATTGCTAGTGCTGCTATTGGATGAGTGAGAGATTTAAACAATGCACCCCTCATTTAAGTATCCCTTATACAGAGGGGAGTCAAGGACAGCCTGTGTTGTCTCCCATACGCTTGAAGGTAAGCCCATTATCTCAGAAAATATCAAATCTTCAGTATCAGCTCAGCTATTATTTGGTTTCTCTTTTTACCTTGAGATTGTCATGCAGCCTGTAAATTGTACTGAGCAAAGTGTGCAGCTGGTGTGCCATTTGGCAGGCTTCAGGCTCCAACTAACATTTCAAATAAAGAAATCTTCATGTACAATTAAAATTGTCTTAGTGAAGAGGCTGACCAGAGGAAATAGCAAAGGGGAATTCAAAACTGGCTGATAGCTTTTAAGACTGGTCATAAAAACCTGTGTGTGTGTGGCTGTGGGTGTTCTTATGTACACACCTGCAGACAAAGCTTCTCTCTCCTCCCCAGCCAAACATGGAGCACAGCAGTACTGCAGTACTGTTTGTGCTGTGGCCACCTACCAAATGCACTACATTTCAAACAGCTCCTTTCCTCCAGCCCTTTTCTTCAATTGTTCAGAACTTTCTACGTCAAATTCTTCTGAGGCTGAAACTCTCCAAAAGTCCATCACAGCTCAAAAGCAATGACTTCTTAAGATTTAGCGATTCAGCGGCTTTTTGAGTAAAATGAGTTATGCCTTTCCTTTCTGAATTAATTTGTGTTCTCCCATAATTAAAAAAAATATATATGTATACATTTTTATATGTAAGGACATTTAGTTCAGCAGTTTACATATATCATTATTTACAGTATATATATTGATTCCTATGTATTATTTTGAGAATCACTTCAGTCCAAGAAAAGTCAATTCCACTTCAGCTAGCCTCTCACTTTTAAAGCTTTCCAAAATAAAAGTATAAGGAAGGATTTCAGATACTGAAGCTAAACATAACACAGAATGTGGATTAAGAAAACATAATTGCCATTTACGAAATCCTGAAATCAAAGGTTCTCTGTTTCTAAAGGTATCAGTTCATCACGTGGTTAAAGGTACTGCCTAGGGGCTGTTTAACTACAATTGGCAACTTGGAAAAAAAGACATCTATAACCTTTACAAAGAGACAGCTTGATGGCTCACCGCTGTTTTCAGCGACCCATGAAGGACAGCAGTTCTCCTCATGGATGATCAATTAGAAATCTCTAAACATAGCTGAAAACATCAAAACCCTGTGAGAAAAGCTAACTAGGACTTGCAAGATGTTTTTCATTTCTTGATACACAATGGTTTCCCCAAAGTGTAAATTGTTATCTAACTGATCATCAAATTAAGCAACAAACACTCAGATAGGCTGAAGTAATGAGTTTGGAAAAAATACGCCAATCAAGATCTCACAAAAAAAGCTGCTGAAACAAGATTTCCTTCATCTTGTCATTGGTAACAGACACCAGAAAGATTTTTACTGAAAAAATCAATTGTCTGATAAGAGTCTTCTGCCTTTCTTTTAGAAACTCAAATCTGTCAAAGATCATAGAAGGAAGTCAGTTGAAATATCCTACATGATCAGAGTTTCCCAAATACCTGAGCTTCAGATCAATTCATCAAGTTTGGAAATTTGAAACCAACCAAAGACACGTACAGGACTGGACTGAAATAATTTACAGGTGGGACATTGAGCCAGGATTTGGGGGCTGTATCTCTAATTACTCTTCTGCTGATTATCACTTGTCCTATGACAAGTCATTCAGGTCAAGATCCACAGAATTACAGAGATATCCAAATCCTCTATTTATTCTCTGTGGAAGATGGATGCCTAAATATTTGATGTGCTCTGATTCTGTGTCCAAAGAATGAAATATGGCTGGAAACAGAACACCCAGAGCTTAGGAGGACGAGTCCACAGTACAGCACTGACACGGTACAGACAAATCCAGCCTGCTCAAGTCCTGACTGTGAGGAAGAACAACAGATGATGTGACAGTGATCAGAGTATTTTTACTCTCAACATCTATTATTTCTAGAGCTGTCCCTGCATTTGCTATGGAGAGGTCTCCAACAGCATGGATCAGATCCAAAGCCCCAAACAGAAACATTCCCAGTGACTTGAGCATCAACCTGCCAACAGCTCAGACATTATTCAGTAAGAGGCCCTTTAGATGAATTAAATTCAGTGTACATCAGAACTCTGAGACAAATACAATCAACTAGCATCACTCTCATGTTAAAGGATGTCTAAGCCTAAAATATAACACTATTGCTTATCAAATTTACCTGAGTTCATGCTGAACCAAAATCTCAGCCAGAGAAAAAACATGGAGGCACGGGGCAAATGGAGGAATTCAGCCAAATCCCCACAGGCTTGACACATAGTGCCTTAGCCATAATAAGCTGATGTATTGTGGCCGTGTTACTAATGACCAGCCACACACAGAGACATGCTGAAAGGCAAAACCACTTTTTGCATTAACCCACATTCCTGAAATAAGGCCCCAAATAAAACTGGTGCAGACACAGTCAATGTTCTGGTCTCTCTGTGAAAAACTGAACATTTCTTGTAGGCGTTTTTTCCCCTAACACCTGTAGGACAAACTGCAATAGTTATCCTCTAGCAATTATTTTGCTCCCTATCCACCTTGCACAAATTTGTCTTAAGAACACGATTCACAGTTGTCCTAGCAAAAGCATCCAAGAGCAGGAGCACACTTCACACAAGTACTCAATTGACTCAATTTGAAGAAGTCAGGAGGAGGATGTAGATCCCACGCTGCTGTTCTTCCAGAAAGTTTTTATGATTTAATTTTTGTGTGTGTTTGAATTATGGCAGATAATTAATCTGATTAGCTCTGATTCAGACTTGAATGTTGAAATTTAAGAAATTTAAAAGCAATTAATTGCTATGGAGAGATCTGGCTCAACATACATATCAATGTGCTGGCACTGTGCAGTGCTCCCCACAACTCCAAATCAGGGGACAGTGGATGAGAACATTAAAGCATTTTTCAGGAGGCTGAGTCACACCCAACAGACACTTGCACTGCATGGCATGGCTGTACCCAAAATACAGATAGCAACAGTAAGTGAACAGAGATTAACAGATAAATACTGAACTTTGTAAAAATGACTACACGATGGCAAAGGCATAACATTTAACAGCTAATCTATGCATCTCAAGGACACACACATTTTATTTCAAGTCCATGCTGCTGTAGCCTATTTGATAAAGCACAGTTGTATAATGTTGCTGTATAATGCACAGGTTCTCCTCATCCTGCACAGCACAGCCATCAGGAGGGAGCAATAAAAGCTGAACTTGAGCAAATACGTTCATTCTTCTGACAAACAATCAGGTGCTCATACGGGAACTCATTTTCAGGTAAAAACCCCACTATAGTTCTGTAAGTACTAACAAAACCCACAAATAATTTAATGTAACTACTTGGTATTCCTATATGTTGTAGCAGGAAGTGTTAAATAACTGTCACTTTAAATGCCTGTGCTGATATGATTTATGTCTGGATGGAGCACATGCTAGCCCAGAGCACAGCAGGACATCAAGAAGTTCTCGAGGGAGTAATGTCTCCACTGGATTGCCCTTGATAGCTCAGGACTTGTCTTTTTAGTGAGCAGTAATAGTGCGTATTGTTGTATCTGGTGAATAAGGACAAATACCCCCGTATTGCTTTCATTATTATGGTAAATGTCGCATTTAAAACGGTATTTTCCTCTTCTTCTCTTGTTGCAAACACAACAAGATTTTATGGGCGTTGATTAAAAAATACTGCTATTGAAATTGTTCATGCCACTTCTCCTTTGTTAAAAACAACTCAAAAACTTACCAAGAACAACTAAAAATCCACTAGACAAAGAAAAATTTGTATATTTTATGCCATTTCGGGGAATTGATGATAGATTCAGGTAAGGAAAGTTGCAAATTCTTTCAAGGAAAATACAGGTGGACTTTATTCCCTCTCCCTCTCTACACGTGCAGCTCATCTCTCTGGTCTCTCTAAAGGACCGATGGTTCAAAGCCAAGGCCCCAGCAGCCTAACAAGCTGCGGGGTACTGTGCCGGAGGGGCGGCACAGCAGGCCCCCGACTCACCTATGAGCTCCCCCGTCATGAAGAGGAGGTAGAGCAGGGCAGCGAGCGTCAGGCGCTTCTTCACCTTCCTCTGCTTGGAGCGCTCCCGCCGGCTGCTGCAGCCGCTGCAGGGGTCCGGCCGGCCGGCCCGGGCGCTGCGCAGGGCGATGTCCCGGTCCAGCAGGGACTCGTCGTCGGACGGTAGCCCCGGGGACGCCCCGTTCACCGGCGTCTCCGGGGCCGCCTCCGAGCCGTCGTCCGCCACCACCACGCGCAGCTTGTTAAACCTGGGGAAGTCCTCGTCCCCCACCTCGTCCGAGAAGTCAAAGGCACTGGAGTCGTTCAGGAACAGAGGGTCCTCGCTCCTCCCTAGCAGGGACTTGATGCTCGCCCAGAGCCCGGCCCCAGCCATAGCGGCGGCGCTCGGGGGCCTCGCCGGGCGCGGCCGGCCCGCCGCGGGCGGCTCCGCTGGCGCAGCTGTGCCCTCGCAGGCGGCGCCCCGACCGCTCGTCGTCCCGTCAGGGCATGTCCCCTACATCGCCCCCCCGGGCCCCGCGCAGGTCGGACAGAAAGAAGCGACGGGCCCGGCCGGGGCGGCGGCGGCACCCGCGTGCCCCTCGGGGTGGCCTGAGGGGCTGTGCCCGTCCCTCCGTGCCTTTGTGTTCAGTGGGTAAATGACACGCGAGGCAGAGGCTGAGATGGCCAAAGCCATACAATGCAGGTGGGGTGGTCCGTGACACACACGAAGCTGTGTTCAGTACGCTGGAAGCCTGAACTGCATAGTTCCGTGCTCTGGCTTCAGATTTTGAACGGCAGAAGTTTGCATTGTATTGCTTCTCTCTTCTGTCACGGCACAGCTCTTTACATTGTTTCAGTAACTGTTAAGGTAGAGCTATAGGAAGTTTCATATGCCTTTCTGAAATTCCTTAAAGGATGTGAGGAGAAACAAACCTCAGGGACCCTGCTGTTGTAGAATTCCTTTCATAGCTGTGCTCTAACACAAGAGCAATAGATTTTTGCCTTTATTAATTTTTCTGAGAGATTATTCCTGCTCCTCATGGTCTGAGTACTTGAAATTCTTCTGAGTTTCAGCCTACACATGTCCTGCATCAGTTTGTACCTATGGCCAAATTCTGTTACTGTATTCAGTCAGTTTACTAAGCCATAAACATTTCTGGGAAACCATGCCTTGCCAGAGAGAAGGCACTTATCTTGCTTTGTTGCTGGGTTGAAGGAAGTTGCCAAGGGAAGACTGGAGAGTTGCATAGAAGTGGAGGATTTTGGAGAAGGGCACTCCTTTTCTGGTCAAAGGCTGATCACAGATTCTGGGAGGCATCAGGGCAATGCTGCAGGACAGGGAGTGAGCCCCTTCTTGGAACTGGCCCTGTGAGAGTCCTCTGTGGTAAACTGGCCTTGGGTGGAGGTTGCTTATTGTTGTTCTCTTAATGATGTCCAAAAATAGACAGTTTGACACTTTATCTGAGCTCTCTTGCCATTTTACAATGTGGCTGTTTTCCTGAGCGTGAATCTCAGGTTATTTTTCTTCAAGTGGCTAAAGTGGTGCCATCTCCTGCCCTTTTACCCACCTCATGATTCCCCAGCATTGTTACCAGCACAATTGTTCAGGGGCCAGACAACAAACTGAGTCCCTGAAATGGGTCAGAATTAAACAGTGCATGTTGGGAGGGTTTTGGATATATTTGTATGTGTAACTGAGACTGCTTGCATGATCTCAACTCGCAGAGACATCCATATGACAACGAGGGGGCAGCGAACAGCGTGGGAGTCAGCATGAGCAGCCAAGGATGGGAACCAGTTAAGCCAGCCTTGCTGCCTAGGAAAGTGCTCCCAGCTGTGTTCCAGTTCACCCATTTTTGATGTTTCTGTTCTCTCTGCATGATTTAACTCACTCTGTGTTTCAAGAGTTTCACCACTTGTACCAGCACAGAGTGAAGGACACACAGGCATGAGCAGCCAGGAGGCACCAAAAGAACTGCGTTTAAAACTGTCTTAAGATGTTGGGCTTTAGCTGGAGCTTTGCCACTCCTACAGAACAGAAACTCCCAGCACTGAGGAAGGGTTTTAGCTGGGGGGACTAACACACTAAACCAGTGCACCAAGGTTTGCCAGCTCACCTTTTACTGAATAGCTGAGACCAGACGTGTTGTCAAGAACCAGCTCGTACATGGGAAAGATGAGCCTCTGGTGAGCAGAACTGTTTGTACCAGATACACTCAATTTCTTCACTGTAACAGCCAGGGCTCTGCTCTGTCTATAGTCTCGTTTACATAATGAGGACAGGGAGTCTCTAAGAGGTTACCTATTAATGTGAAGTATTTCCTTTTCATGTTGTCATCCCTGAAGTCACGGGGCACCTCCAAAGCTGATGGTTTAAAACATCCTATTTGCTATACAATTCAAGCTAACTTAACTCCATTTTCACTCACATTTCTAGGGTGAGGCACCGTTACAACAGATGTAACTGCTTAAATCAGTTGCAAACAATAAAATCCAAAATGCCTATGTGACAGTGTCCATTAAAGGTTTCTGAACACAGTTGCTACAACATGAAATGGAACACAATTATGTGGTGTTAACAGTATTACAAACATAAGCACTTGGGAAATAATTGCTGTGAAACAGAGGGCATTTTGCAAAAGAAAAGGAACAAGAAAGTTTTCTGTCATTCTCTTTTTTGGAACACTTGGGTTGACAAACAGTTAAATTTTAATTTGTCTAGAAAACCAGATACCAGTTTTCTATTCCAATCCTTAGTCTATTTCTGCAAGACGTGGGAAGGCCTGGAACAGGCAAAGCATGAGCACAAATCTGAAACTCCCACATCTCAAGTGAGACTATTTCAGAGTCATTATCTCACTTGTTCTTACTAGAAATTCCATCTGGAAACTGCACAGTCTTTCCCAGTGAAACTTTCAACAAAAGTTGTGGGTTTTCTTCCCTACCAAAAGAAACTTTTAAGTAAAATTGCTAACCAGTTGGAATTAAGAATTGGAGTCTGCTTGAGTTAATTAACTCTTTCCTCTTTTTGCTCCTTTAAAAAAGCAGAAAAATTGATAAGTCTTTAATCTGATGATGGAATAGTGACATAATTGTGAACAAAAGTTAATTAGAATATGCATATGAAGAAAAATGCAAATGAATTTGCAACAATCTTGCAGTTAGAAATGTTAGTTTTAAGGCTGACAGATCACCTCAAAAGCCCCTTTTTTGCCTTGATCTGTTTCTGAAGAGCATTAGGGGAACTGCCTGAATTGAATTTAATCATTAAGATCTGGGGATACATTAAAATACTGTATTAAAAAAAAAACCAAACTTTCTGAGTGGTTCTTCATTAGTTATTGTATAGTTGCACCTGCATTTCCTGAAAAGACCTCTGTAGGTTAATGAGGAAAAAAATATAAATTCCTCCCATACAAAACTGATTTTCATTAAAGAATATATATACTTGCAAGTTGGTTATGGAGGGTGCTGATAACACCAAGGTGGCAGTTTGATCCCCATATGGGCCACTTGCCTAAGTGATCCCCTTAATGATCCCTCTGGGCCATTCCAACTCAGAATATTCTGAGATTCTGTGTCAAGTTATTACTGCTCTTGCACACTGTTGGGGGAGATGCACAGACAGACACGTACACAAAAGCTAATTATTAATTTCCCAAGAAACAAAATCTGCAAGTAGCGTAAAGTCTGCGCGGTTTCTGGAGAATCCAGATCTATAAAATACAAGAGCAAGGATGTCCCTAAGAAAGGGCACCTACGGTGTTTTTAGTTGTTTTGGAGCTCGGGGGGCTGCGCTGTGCCGCTCCCGCCCGGCAGCCGCTGTCCCCGCCAGGCCGGGCCGCTCAGGGCCGGCACCCAGCGGGGCCGGAGCCCGCGCGCGTCCAGGCTCAGCCCGGCCCAGCGGCTGCTCCCGGGGCCGGGGGGCTTCCCACCGCTCCGGGCGAGCCGGCAGCCCCGGGGAGCGGAGGGGAGCGGAGGGGAGCGGAGGAAGGAGCGCCGGGCACCGCCAGCCCCCGGGCGCTCGCTGGGTGCGTGAGGGGAGCCCGGGCCGGGCGGGACGCGGGTGCGAGGAGAGGCTGGAGCCGCCGGCGGGCCCGGACAGAGCAGGGCGCGCCCCGGAGGCTCCGCCACAGCCGGTGTCAGGCCGGGCTCCCTCGGGGCCGGGGGCTGCCTCCGCACCGCTCTCTCCCGTGCGGGGCCTGCAGGATAAAGGGTTTTATCTTCCACCAGCAGACAAAAACAATCGTAGCGTGCCCATACGAATCTTACAGGCTGTGAAGCTCATCGCTCTCTCCCGTGCGGGGCCTGCAGGGTAGAGGGTTTTATCTTCCACGAGCAGACAAAAAACAATCGTAGCGTGCCCATACGAATCTTACAGGCTGTGAAGCTCAGTTCTTGGAGTTCACCGTGAACTCTTGGGGTTTTGAGTGACAGGCAAAGACCTTTCATAGCCTAGCTTGTTCCCAGACTTTGAAAGCAAAGGTTGGGGGCTGTTAATGTTTAGGTACTCCTGATACATAATCAGAACACTGATGTTACCCTTTTTTTTCCTTCAGTAGCCTGGAGTACTCAATTTTTTAAATTTTTGTTTTAAGATATATATGGAACAGTTATATTTCCCTCTTTCTGTTCTGCTGCAGTTCACATAAAAGGGTTTACCAGGAAGATTGTGATACAGGGATGAGAATAAGGGAGGAATAAAGAAGAGGAAAAAAGACAAAAGTCCAGTTTAGTTCAAAAAGTGCAGAGAATTTTACTGTGTTCTAATGCATTTCATTTTTTGAAAAGGAACATATAGTTCCTCTAGGAGAAACTTGAAGTGTGTGCTGACCTGTCACACTATACTCAGCCTTGCTGTTCTGTGGTGTAGGTCCCAGTGATGCGTCTCCAGATGAAGGAGTTGTAGAAGATCTGCCTTTAATAGATGAGAAAGCTGTGGAGCAGCTAACTGAAGGATTGATCTCCCACTATCTGCCTGATCTTCAGCGATCAAAATCAGCACTGCAGGAACTTACGTGAGCAGATTTTTGAAACCAGCTTCATACACATGCATCCTTGGTTTGCTGCTCTTTTCAATACAATGTGCCAGCTCCTTTTAACTGGAATATAGTTTATCAGCATTTCTGTATCCTGACTCAAGCAGCCTGAATAATTCAGTGATCTGTGGGAGTACCAGGGGGTGTATAAACTGCAGTGTAGCCTGTGAGCACAGAAGAGGAATGTGTAACACTAGAAGAGTAAAATCCCCTAAGCCAGGCAGAGCAGAAGACCTAGGTTTCTTAAATGCTTATTCACTTCTGTAGTGGAAAAGTGTGCTAAAAGCTGGATTTATTTTGCTTGGAAACATGCAGTTTGTATTCAGGGAAGCTTGTAGTGAGATATATTGTTTATTGTTCATTCTCTAAACCATACTGCAAAACACTTGAAAAACATAAGTAAGGAGCTAAAGAAATAGGAGTTCTTTGTACACTGATACCTCACTGATGACCAAGAGTAGCTGATTTCAAATGCAGATCAGATCTGCCATGGATACAGAGATACTGGAGAGAGCTTTACACAGATCCACC